CACATCATGAAACGAAAAATTCAGCAAAGCAGACCCAGGACTGTTGAACAGCTAGAATCCTACATCAGACAAGAACGGGACAACATTCCTCTCCCAAAACTCCAGCAATTGGTCTCCTTACTTCCCAGACTTTTACAGACTGTTGTTAAAAGAAGAGGGGATGGTACACAATGGTAGACATGGCCCTGTCCCAACTTTTTTGAGATGCGTTGCTGCCATCAAGTTCTAAATGAGTTAATGTTTTTCACTTTCAACATCTGATATGTGTTTTATGTTCTATTGTGAATAAAATATGGGTCTGTGAGATTTGCAAATCATTGCATTCAGTTTTTATCTACATTTATTTACATTTTACATGTATCCTGCCTTCCGCCCAATGACAGCTGGGATAGGCTCCAGCACCCCACCGTGACCCAGAAGGATAAGCGGTTTAGATGATGGATGGATAGATGATGGATACATTTTACACAGTGTCCCAACTTTTTTGGAATTGGGTTGTAAATAAAAACAGAATGCATTGATATGCAAATCATTTAAACCATATATTTAATTGAAAGCTATACAAAGACAACATACCAAATGTTGCAACTAAGAACTTTTATTGCTTTTTGAAAAATGTATGATATTTCGAATTTGACGCCAGCAACACGTTTCAAAAAAGTTGGGAGCAACAAAAGACTGGTAAAGTTACGTAATGCTTAAAAACAGGCAACAGGCTCTGAGGTATGTGTTCTCTCATTTGATCAGCGCCAGGGTGTTACCCAAGCAGCAGTGACATGTATACAAACCCAGCCATATAAAACACAATGCATACAACAGATTCTAATAAAGTCCAATGAAGTTAAATGCAGCCACTGCAGCTTGGTGTATGCAACTACTAAAGACATTAGAAGACGTATTTTGAAGTAATAATCATGCGTTTAAACCCATTTCATTAGGCTCCGAAAATTCTTTGAAAAGGACGCTAAGATTGGCCCTCTCAGCTGCCGTAGTTGCAACGTTTGCATAACACAGAGTGTTCAACGCACCACCATTTCAGTTTAAATCAACGTTTTGCTACATTTTGTCGAGGCTGAACGCAGCTCTGGTGAAACACCTCACAACTAATTAGGTTAACTAGCAACATGTCTGTAGCATGATTGGGTATAAAAGAACATCCCTGAGAGGCCTTCGGAAGACTCAGATGAGGAGGGGTTCAGCACTCTGTGAAAGCCTGCACAGGCAAATAGTGCAACAATTCAAGAATAACGTTTCTCAGTGTAAAATACCAAAGAACTACAGTACAAAATATCATTAAAAGATTCAGAGAATCAGGAGGAATCTCTGCATGCAAGGGACAAGACCAAAAACCAGTATTGACTGGCTGTGATCTTCAGGTCCTCAAGTGGCACTGCATTAAAAACAGGCACGATTCTGTAGTGGAAATCACTGCCTGGGCTCAGTGTTGGAAACGGGTTAATTGTCTAACTTTTATATGCTTATTCTGTCTGTCAGAACAGTCATTCTGTCTCCAAGGCCTGATTCTCTCTTAGGTCATCTTAGAATGTCCTGTACTTTTCTGTGCCTCTATCACTGGTACATAACCTTGATAGTTAGAGGGGGAGACTGTTTAGGCCAGTTGAGGGTGATAACACTGTACGAAGACATATTGAAATAAACCTAGCCACCTCCTCCAATGTGTACTTCTCTGTCTAGCTTATTCTAATTAACTTCTACAACAACTCTACCAGTCAACAACCACAACCATTGTCATACAACAGCATTGCTTCATATTAAAAGAGTAAAAGTACTTTGGTAAAGTAGCTCAACAAAATGATTCGCCGCATTTATTACCAGAAAACAACTAATTCCAAAAGATAGATATTATTTGGTGAAGACATGTTCTCAAAAGAAAAGAAAAGGATTGGACATGTAAATACTTCAGTATTCAGCTGCTCATCCCTATAAGACACAGCACTTCAACGTTGATCAGGCCAAAATCAGCCTTTTCCTGGTTTAAATACGTATGAGCTGCTATTCAGAAGTTATTATGGCACATTTGTTGCAGTTGTGAAAATCTCTACAGGAGAAGAGCGCTAGTGTTTATATAAACACACTAATGGACACTTATCAGGTGACAGATGTGGCAAAACAAACACACCTGCTGGCTTAGGTACTTTATATAGCCACTCTGCATTTATATATACACATAGACAGACTAGCTGGGGGTTAATGTACAGTACTGTGAACAAATCAAAGGTGACCCTTCATTGATTTAATTTCCAGCCCAGCCATTAAGTACAAGTATTCCTTTTTCTGGAGACATTCCTGGTGAGATTAGATATAAAATAACCCATTTGCATAAGGAAGAGAAAGTAAAAGGAAAATAAGTTAAAAAAAAACAGGATTTTCCAAAACTGTCACCATCAGAACAAACAGTACATCATGCTCCCCTCTTATTTCAGAGCTGAAAAAAACCACAGGTGTTTCTGTCTGTCCTTCCACTGTGAGATGACAACCCATCACTACGGGTCTAAAAGGATGTGGAGCTACCAAGAAGCTGTTACTGAGAAAATGAAACGGATGATAAAGATTATTTGCAAATCAAACAAAGAAGCTGCTGGAGTCCAGACCTCAACATCATAATGTTGATTACATGGATTCTAAGAAGCAGAAAATGCAACCAACTTCTAAGACTGACGTTTGGAGGTGTGGAGAAATATTCCTACAGATTTCCTTGGAAAAAAAATTAATAACTTAGCTAATAGCCATTTTGTCAGAAAATTAAATCATTGAAGGGTGGTCTTAGACTTTTGCACCAAACTTGTACATTTTTTTTTCTATTTAGCCGAGGGGTAACTAACAGCGCTGTCTCCTAAACCTTTACCTTCGTGTGGCCCCAACTTGGTTCACAGTCCTCTCCTCTCCAGCTCTGTCTGAAACACTTCCACCTTCCTGGTGTTTAGAGCTAATCTAGAAACATTCCTCATTAGTTACTACACAAACTTATTGTCAGTAATCAAAGTAGTGCATCACTTTGATCTAGTAGGTTTTTAAACTACACTTTCTTAATTCCTGCTGAAATAAATACAACACAAAAAAAGAATAACTAGATGATCAACTCCACTCATGATAGACAATGAAAAGCCTAATAAACAGCAGCACTGGTAAAGGACAGCAAAGCAGGTTTATTATTTTGTGCAATGTTTGCAGGCTGATCACCTTCAGAAATAAATACATGGTAAAAAATTAGCATCAAAGAAAAACCTTTAAGATGTAATTTGGCATAGTGTATGACATGTAGCATCCTAAACAGTTTCACTGGGACATTACATATCATTTGGTAAGTTAACATTGTGTCAGTGTGTGTGTGTGTGTGTATATATATTTTTGAATTTGAATTTCAATGCATTTGCATCAGTTTACAATGTAGGATTCCATACACCATAATCACAGAAAAATAGACCAGTCCTTCAATTCATTAAACTCATTCAACAGTTCTGCAAATTCTGCAGTCACCATGAGGACAGAACATTATTAATCATCATGTTCCTCAATCTTGAGCTAAAAATTCAACATAATAAATATTTACCTTCAGTGTTAATACTAACCTATTCTGTCGTGTCGAAGGGGATATGTAATACACTAGCTGACAAGTTCACTGACCATATTCACTAGAAACTGGTCACCAGTTTTGGAAATGACGAACTCTCATCAGTTACTCTCAGTTATGAGGAACAGCTATAGATAGTACACAGGAACAATGAGCACATGACACGAGGTGGAAGCCCAAATGCCAATAACTTACAAAAGTTTTAGGAATTGCATAACATAGTAAATGCTGTAGAACATTCCACTTCCATGGTTGCTTGATTCACATTTGGCCAAAGCCCTTCGTTGGAGCTATTACTGCAGTGCATGACTACAAAACCAAAAGCCATCAGTGTTTGGTTAAACTTTTGGTCAACCAATGCAACAAAACAGACAAATCACTTTGATAAAAAGTTCTGATTTTCAAGTTAAGTTATAAACATGTCTTTGCTAATTCTTTGCTTAATTTTAAGGAGACCAGATTTGTGATTAACTAACGCCACAAGGCAGAAAAATACCTCTGCTGATCTCCAATTTTAAAACGCGACTTTGCTAATTATTTGCTTCATTTGTCAAAGATCAGATGAACAGCTTGATTTGACTCAAGTCACACATCACAGTTTAGCCAATTAATGACACCATGTCAGGCAACTTAACAAGACAACACTGTGTCTGAAAGGAGGAGAAGCTGTCAAGAAGGAATTTCTGAGAAAAGGAAACAGACAAAAAAAAGACCATTTGAAAATCAAACGAAGCTGCTGGTATTCTCAGAACAAATACTGTACACAGCATTACAGATTGGACCATATGTAGGCAAATACAAACAATGTGCACTCTTCTTGCATTACTTGTATACTGAAATGCCACCTCCAAAATGAACGTACATCATTCATTCATGTCATAAACAGTATTTTGCATTCATTCTTCATTATTAAACTGTGCCATCGTGTCTCCAAATTCACAATATACAGTAAGAGCAGGGTGCCAACCAGGCGAGGCGCTGCTGCTGCTGCTCTAATCCAACACTGCCTCTGTGGTGCTACCAAAGACTTTCTAACGTAACAGGAGAGGCAATGGTAAGACCTCGTAAGTTGTAAGCCAATCAGAATTCGGGGAGGGGCTCTGGCGCTACTCACTCTGTGAAATAACTGTTGGCAACCGTTGTGACAGGATTTTAACTAAAAGTGTACTAAATTAAAGAGTAGGTCTTATTCAAATTATATTATACACAGTCTGAATCAGTAAGTAGTCAAAGTGAAGATATCTATCAATCAACCTTTATTTAAACTCTGAGAACACTGAGGAAGACCCTCATTTACGATGTAGCCGAACCAAAAAAGAAAAAATCGGATTGTAAAAACATATCAAATAATAATCATAATAGTAAATTTAAATAGTAAAAAAAATAAAAATCAATAAACCATTAAAATTGCAACAATATAATAACTTAATAAACTGCAGACCAAATAAGGATAAAATAAATAAATAAATAATAAAGTAAAGGAATAGAAAATGTAAAACAACTTAGCAGTAACTAAGATGTAAAAGTTGATAATAAAACAAAAAGAATAATAAAAGTGTATCAATAACTAAAACATATTAAAAGTTAACTAAAATCAAGTTAAATAGTTGTGGGCTGAGTGGAGGTGGTTAGAGACTAAGAGTTAACCGGGAGCAAAGCTTGCTGTAGTGAGGCTTCCTGTAAATGCATTCCAGCTCGGTGGTTCACTGTATCTAAAAGCATATTTTCCCAGATCAGGAAAAGCTCTCGGCACCTGAAGAGTGACCCAGTCACTGGAATAAGTCTGATAAACTGCATTATTTACACTGAGCTTTTTTGTGATGCATGATGGCCAGTAAGTGCTTTATAGATAAAAAGAAGCCAATGTGTCTCCCGCAGAGCCAGAGATGACCAGTCGACCTTCTCATATAGTAAACAGTGATGGGTATTGTACGGGATATCCACCTAAGATATGGATTTGTGCAAACTGTGGTTAATATAGCTGGCGTTTGACAGATTATTTGTTTTCATATTTCCTTTAAGTACTTCAAAACAATGATACCAGTATTAGCCTTACATTGTTTTACTGAAAACAATGGTACAATGAGGAACTCTCATCAGTTACTCAAACAAAAACTCATTAATCCTTGAATTCTTGTAAATCTGAGTTTAATAAAAATACTGTCACTAACCAGGCAAGGAGATGGAGAGAAAGAAGGTGAAGGAGACTGACAGAGCTGAAGAAGCAGGTCTGATCAAGAAGAAAGCGAGTGAGTGATGTTTAAGCTTTCAGTTAATATTAATGATGAATTTGGAATATTAATCCTGTCATTTGTGAGACTAAATAAAATAATAACTGAGAAAATGTAGTTTTGTGCTGTCAGATTTTACTGTGGCCAAGTGACCCAAACTTTTCAACATGTAAACCCAACTACAGAACAAAATCACACTGTCTGGTTGCACAAACTGAGACTGTACCAATCTGTAATCTGTGTATTTGAACAACATATTTAGAATCTGCAGCTCATCCAAGAGAGAGGAGATAGCATTGTTTGACTTCAATACCTTTTTAATACCTGTTTGATCTGTGCTGGTGGACAGACATAGTGTTTAGGTCGTAAAAGATCTGTGATTAATACACTATAAACAAATCATTAAAAACATTCTGCTGGAGGAGCATGGCCCGAGACCCCTTTGGTAAAGGCTTAACCCTCCTATACATAAATCTGTAACACTCTTGGCCTCCATAATGGTGATTTGTGCTTGGTGGATAAAAACGCTATTGAGCTAGATAAGCAGCCTGCCATTGAATCTCTAACAACCTATCCAGCTTAACACCACTGAAAAAACTGAATGGCTATCACTGAAGGTGTCTTCATTGGTAATTATCATCTGATGGCAAACAGTTGCTTTGATGCACCTTTAAATTGTGGTTCACGGTTAATTACTTTGCATGTGGTAAGTGTTTATTTTCAGAATTAGATGGAAATTTGAGCATGTTCATTCATTGCTGACTGGAAAATTAATATTCACTTGGCACGAAGCAGAATTTTTATCACAATTCTTAAAGAGCCAGGTCTGTTTCAGACTCACACCCTCACGGGTCACGTTTCAGTCTTTTACTAGGTGCTTCTCTTTTTTTCCTGACTGGACAGACGTAGGACAGGATTAAGTCCACCATGTTTTTGATGATGGTAGGGGGTGGATGCAGAAGATGGGGGTGATGGTGGGCGAGTGTCATCTCCCAGGCGTCCAGCATCTGGACATTGACCCCTCGGAACATGGTGCGCAGCACCACGTCCTGCTGCTGAGAGAACCAGTCGCTGTTGAACAGGCTGGACTCGGGGTCCAGCTTCTGGAGGTTGGCTGTGCGGATAACCACCAAAGTGGCCGGCTCGCGGTTCAGGAGCCGAACTACAGCCCTGCGGATGTGCCGGAGCCGCCGGATGTACACCTCAACAGGGAAGGTGCTGAAGTGAGACCAGACGCCCACAAGCACCACTGTGTCTGAGCCACCCCGTATCCTGTCCAGCTCGTTAGCTACATAGTGCATCTCCGGGGAGGACACGGAGGTGAAGCGGATGGGTGGCCCGTGGCAGCGGTAGCTCAGTAGTATGCTGTGTCCACTGTCCACTGCCATGTAAGGCCCCACGTTCTTAGGACTGTGAAGGTTGATCTCCTTTAGTTCTGCAGACAGATGGACAGTAGTGATGGGAGAGAAATGAACAGAACATTAATGGCGGGACTGCAGAGTGAAACAAATCCGTTAGAACGAATGACAGTGATAGAGGAGGTTTTCAACAATGTTCTTACCAGGAACAAAGGCATTGAGGTACTCAAACCATTGCCGCACAGTGGAGTCTCCAAACATGTATATAATCTTCCCTTTAAGACACTGTGTTATGGCTGATGAGTCATTAAACTGGCGCATGACTGTTCCACTCAAAGGCCTCCAGGAATCATGATAGTAGTATCCCGCAGGGGTGAAATTATTGCTTTTCATTTTGGTTACACCTTTAAAAGAGAGAAAATTATACATTTTAAAAGCAATTGTGTCAGACATGCACTGTATTCTAAATTGTCCCTCCAAAATACAGTATCCAAAAGACACTCCTTTTAGTGCAAACAGCTGTTTTAATGTGCACCCACTGCTAACACAGTTGTTCAACTGCACACACAACTTGTATAATCTCCACAGAAAAGCACTACAAAAATAATGGGATTCTCTGGAGCAGCTGCACATGAGCCTAAGGTCACCCAGCACACTGCCAAGCACTGGCTAGAGGGGTGGAGGAGTGGAGCTGTGTTCTCTGGAGTAACAGACCACAATCAGATACCTTTGGGATAAGTTTGAATGTGTTTGTGATCCAGAATTAATCCAGCATTCGTATGTGACTTCACTAATGTTCTTGTGGCTGAATGCAATCAAACCCTCATTGTAATGCCAACATTGAGTGTAAAGCCTTCCAAGAAGAGACATGCTAGACATGTAGACATGCTTTTCTCTTAGTATTGAGAAAGAGATGTAGTTATCCAGCATAGAAATACCAGCATGTTCTGATAGTAATACTTATGAATGAAGACACTACAACAAAACGGACATATTTCAGAACTTTTGAATATCTTAATGAAACAGATGTGTAATTTCAAGGTTTTGTTCCAAGGCAAATTATAGATTACTTTTATGTGTTTTTTTTCTTTCTTTTTAACACATACAAGAAAAATCAGTGCTACGTTATGATCAACAACACCTTTTGTACAGACTAAAAGTGTGTTTTCCATTGTACATCCACTGTTATTTTTTTCAAAAACTCATTATACCTAAAATTACAAATAGAAACATAGCATTGTGGAATGACTCTTTTTTATTACTAAAGGAATTTTTTTTTTTTTGCATTTCAACTTTACATACATTTCACTCGTACTTTAGTGTTGGTAGTTGCTACATGCAGCCTATTGACTAACTGCAGTGTAGCTATAATTAAGTTGCACTTTGTTTTATTTATTTGTAAATGGCTTGTTAGTTGACACATTGCAAAGACCATATATTTCACACAAAACATACCCTTTTCTGCAGGCAGTACAGTCACATTGTCCATCCCTGAGGAATGTATAGGAACCTTGATATTTACACCACTGAAACAAAATAAAAAAAAATATTAATTTCCTATCCCTGCATGTCAAAGGCAAGTAGGTGGATAAACTACTGAACAATTTGGCAAAATCATGAAGTAAAACTTATTCAAACTTCAAAGGCAAGCAATTTTTTAGGAACCCAGTATTTTTATTAAAATTTTAACTGTTAAAATTGAGAAAACTGAAATAAAAACTTAGTAAATGTCATATTTATTTACAAAAAGCTGTAGAACACTGCCAGCTTACCTCTGGAAGAACTGAGTTTCATTTTTTGTAAGGAGGTTTTTCTTATAACCTCCCTTTGAATGATTGATTCGGGTGTCGCAGCCTAACATTTTGGGCTTGTAGCAGTACCAGGGCTCTCCAGTTTGCAAGTCAGTGAAGTTGCAGAGAGGTTGCTCCTTGTGGGGCAGGCACAGGTTGCACACAGTGGTCTCAGAGAGGAAGCCGGAACGGAAAACGCTCTTGAAGAACACCCGGTCTGGCTGCTCCTCCCTCAGCCTCTTCAGCACCACCACCGCCTCGCTGGGGTGCACCATAGTGAGCTCCACCTGCACCACTCCTGCCCACAGCAATGGGAACAGCACTGTGTAATTGCCGTTCTGGTGGTCATGCACCTGGCCCACCACGCCCGCCCCCAGATCTGGTGAATGCAGACGGGCCACCAGAAAGTCTCCCCCATGCTTCTTAGGCTGCCCCATGAAATTCAGCATATAGACGTCCACCACCAACTGACCACCTTCCTGCTGCTCCGCTGGCCCCCTGATCACAAAGTAGCTTTGGGCAGGGTCACTACTGAGCCGCAGAGGGAGTCCTGGCACCAGGGGTCCAGGCCAGGAAATGGAATTGAGGAGATCGCTCTCTTCTCTGGCCTCCTCTGCAGTGGGCTCCCGGCCCAGGCGGGCGCAGTACGTGTGGTTGAGCTCCACCGACAGCAAGACCTCAGGTGTTTTAAAGGCTGAGTGGATGCTGCTCTGGATCTGGTAGAAAGCAGACATTGTCTGACAGTTCAGCTTCTGCAAGCAGAGAGAAGGAGGAGACATCTGAATTTCTCACAGAAACAAACAAGCAATGAAAAACCTGAAATAAGGCTTGAGTACCTCAGTTACATGGAGCCCTATGGATTTTGTTTCCAAGTAATCATAGAGGGTTTACAGAATTCAAACATTAAAATTTCCACTCAAAATTGAAATCACACATAACTGTGCTCTATTTCAACATTAACTGCTATAATTCTACATACAGTAGTGTGTAAAAAGTGTTTGCCCCCTTCCTGATTTCTTATTCTTTCGCATGTTTGTCACACTTAAATGTTTCAGATCACCAAACAAATTTAAATATTAGACAAAGATAACACAAGTAAACACAAAATGCAGTTTATAAATGAAGATCTTTATTATTAAGGGAAAAAGAAATCCAAACCTACAGGGCCCCGTGTGAAAAAGTGATTGCCCCCACCATGACTCCACCATAAGAAAGAGACTGGGCAAAAATGGCCTGCAAGGCAGAGTTCCAAGACGAAAACCACTGCTGAGCAAAAAGAACATAAAGGCTCGTCTCAGGACCTGGAAGACTTGCTGTGGTAAATGGAACCATGAATTCTGCTGTCTACCAAAAAATCCTGAAGGAGAATGTCCGGCCATCTGTTCGTGACCTCAAGCTGAAGCGCACTTGGGTTCTGCAGCAGGACAATGATCCAAAACACACCAGCAAGTCCACCTCTGATTAAGAAAAACAAAATTAAGACTTTGGAGTCGCCTAGTCAAAGTCCTGACCTGAATCCGATTGAGATGCTGTGGCATGACCTTAAAAAGGCGGTTCAGGCTCAGAAACCCTCCAATGTGGCTGAATTACAACAATTCTGCAAAGATGAGTGGGCCAAAATTCCTCCACAGTGTGGTAAAAGACTCATTGCCAGTTATCGCAAACGCTTGATTGCAGTTGTTGCTGCTAAGGGTGGCCCAACCAGTTATTAGGTTTAGGGGGCAATCACTTTTTCACACAGGGCCCTGTAGGTTTGGATTTCTTTTTCACTTAATAATAAAGACCTTCATTTATAAACTGCATTTTGTGTTTGTGTTATCTTTGTCTAATATTTAAATTTGTTTGGTGATCTGAAACATTTAAGTGTGACAAACATGCGAACGAATAAGAAATCAGGAAGGGGCAAACACTTTTTCACACCACTGTAATTGTGTCCACTAGGCATTGAATGACATACATTAGCTACGGAGCAGGCGTGGCTAATTTTAGCTCCAGCAGGCCAAGTCAGCAAATGCCAGTGTGATAGCAACCCACTGCAGTTCTAACCCTTACCCCACAGTTCTATCACATAAAATTGTGCCACTAACATTCATAACATTGAGCTATTATCTGTGCATAGGTTTTGGGCTGTCATCAGAATTTAAAAAAGTGCAGTATGATTCAGATATGCAATATTTGTCGCTAACAACATGTATTACACATTAAATAATCTGTGAGAATAAGTTATATGAAAACACACTGCAGCCTTTTACATTGACCGACAAATACTTGGCTACATAGCTGAGATATCTCTGTCATTTATTTATTAATTTATGCATTTATCATCACTTCGCTAATTAAACAAGTGGAGTCAGATGTGCTTCAGCTTGTTTGGAATGAAAACGTGTAGCCTCACCGGCCTTATATGCTTTGCTTGATCCTAGTTTATCTCATCTACCTCTATTCAGCTATTAAAAAGGTCAATAGCATGAGTGGTTCGACCTCTGCATTGTGCCATCAATGCACTAATGTGAGTGTGATCTAATGCAGGGATAAAGTTAAGAGAGCGTGTTAGCACAGAAAGGCAAATCCCAAAATATAACTATGCCAGAAACAATCAACTGACTGCAGCAGCTAAGAGATGATGATACTTTAATGTGGTAATGCCTTTTCCAGAAAACACAAAACACCATTTTAAAAATGGCAGAACAAACTAAACAAATATTCCAGCCTGGGACCCAATACTGTAGCAATCCAAGATATAGTTTGCTACAGCTGTCGCTCAAGCCACTCTTTTTAGTTTCAGAAACTGTTTTAGTAAGAGACAGCCTTCATCACTTGAAACATGTTTTGGTTTGGCTCCTGCTTAATCTGTTTGTTAGTTTTGGCAGCAATTTCTACGCACGCTGGTTCAAATTCAAAGTATAGTAATAAATACAGAAGAACAGTCAAGCTTAGAATGACTCTAGAATGCTCTGGCACCGTCCACCCGATGTGGACACGTTCTGCTCCAAATGTGCTGTAATATGTACTCACTTCCATTGAGGTGATGTTGAGTATGAGCAGTACAAATCCTGATAATGCCAACAGAATTAGGATGGGGGCAAATTTGGGCATGCGTCCCTCCATGGCTGGGTCTCTGTGCCATCCTCCAGCACAGCATCACAGCACACAATGCCAAGCCATTAGCAAAAATCACAGAGAAGATTCACCACCTGATGAGAAGAACATGACAGAAAACACACATGAATGTCTGTTCCTCTTTGTTTCACACAAATGTTTTGAATAAAAGTTATTTCAAAAATCCAGAAAAACTATAATTAATTGGTCCTAAAGTTACCCAGATAATCTAATGTGGACAAATAATTTATGGCCTGAAACACCACCAACTGATTACAAAGAGTGAAATCCAACAAAAGTAGATTTGACGCCGATCCGATGCCTGGTATCCCTACAGGGGCTAACATGATGCAGAAAATACAGGATCAGATATTGGAGGGAAAGAAAGAATGAAACTCTGGTCCTGTAACAAATCTATACTGCAATATAATCTATATTGTGTGATATGATGTTAACTGTGTATTTCTTCCCATGGGACAGTAGAGTGCTTGAGTAGTTTTAGCATGATAGCCTATTATATATAAATGCATGTTGGCCAGTGTGATGAAATGGAAACTGGACTTTGCTATCTCAAAGATCTATCTGTTTATAGATGCCACGAGTGGGCCAGGGCCACGCTCTTCACCACGACACAGTTCTTTTATGGACATGTTTTATTTCTGTCTTATTTTAAATGTTTTTCACACATCAAAACGCTGTTTCTAACTATGATGAAAACAAAAATTTGAGCAAGCAGTTCATCACAGAGGCCGACACCATCAGGCATCTCGTGATTGGCTAAATCTTTAAACATGCTCTACTTTATTTAACAATTGGCCAGGGAAAGTTATATGTTCAAAAGTACATGAAAATGGACACTGGTTAAAAAACTTTGTCTTGTAGTTCATTCAGCAAAGGTTATTGGAAATTTAATGTAGACCTTTTGGTAACTGAAGAATTTTGTAGTCATATAAACATTTTAATTGAAGAAAGTAAAAATAATACTGGAGATTCTCACAGAAATAAACTGGAGTTTTTTTTATTCAAAATTAGAGAGTATTCCACTGCATTCAGTAAGACCTTAAGTAAAGTCAAGAAACAACTACCAAATGATCTAATAAGATAATTTCATACTTCAGTACATTAGAGAAATTGCGCTATTAAACTATTTTATCAATGATGTGGGAAATTTTAATCCTAAATCGGGATTATAGTGACCGAGGAAATATATTCTTATTACAGTCAGCTATAAACTTCTTCTTTCTAAACAGTGCAGAACGTTCTTTGAAAAAATAAAAAAAAATAACATTGATCAAATTGAAAGAAACTCTCACTATTAAATAACTTGATTCTGTCATTCTGCAACTATCTACAGGTAAGGCTCCAGGTGCAAATGGGCTTAAATTTTTTTAGAAGGACTTTATGGAAATAATTTTTAATGTCTTTGCTGAATGTATCCAGGAGATTCAGCCATAATGAGGCAAGGACTGATTACTCTGTCAACTAAGCCTGGCAAAGACCCTAGATTTACAGAAAACCTGCATCTGATAACATTACTTAGTGACTACAAGCTTCTTGCACATGTGCTTGCAAACCATCTTAAAGCTAATTTATCTCAATTTATCAGTGAATCTGGTTTTCTTAGAGGCAGGTCTATTCATGATAACATCAGGGTAGTGATGGAATTAATTGAGTATAGTGATTGGATAGATAAGTTTTATTCTGTTTTTGGATTTCCAAAAGGCATTTGACTCAGTGGAACACGATTGAATTTTATTATTTTTTACAACATTTTTGTTTTGGTGCCAGATTTATGAATGTTGCAAAGATGTTGTATAAAGATAATAACAGCTCAGTCTCATTCTCTAATGGAACTTCTTCAAGATTTAATATTAAGCAAGGAACTAGACAAGGGTGCCCGTTAGTACCCTTACTATTTATTAGGGGTGCGGGAAAAAATCGATTCTTAGATGCATCGCGATGCGGACGTGAACGATTCTGAATCGATTCATAAATGTTAAAAATCGATTTTCTAAATATTTAATTTATAACGTAATGTTGACGGAACGAAAAAGGTGGAACTGGAAGTGGGTAAATGCAGCGCCCGGACAGTCTGTGGCGGCACATACCAAAACCACCACTGGATGAGCGAGAAATCCGACCGGCTCCCTCTGCATTAAAGCCAGGTTAGGTCAGGAGTCACAACACAAATGATAAGAAGAGCCATTTTGTCCTTTCAACAAAGTCAAACCACCTTGGGAGCCACAACATTTGATGCCCAGTATGTTTCCGTATGTGCTGATGTCCTAGTATAGGCTAAACAATATAAACGAGAGCGCAGATTTACTTCGCTCTGCTTTAAGCTTTAGCTACAGCCGCTTTCCTCCCATCTCCGCCAGAAAACCTTCCTTCAAAACTAGAAGAGTTTCTTGTAAAATGTCTCAGCATCCGGCTGTTTTACGAGGCTGAAGTCGCTTCTCATTTGCTTCTCGTTCTAATTTTCCCGTTCCACCTTAAATTCTGCCTCAGGCGCCGAATGTAACTGCTGCAAGATTTAAGGTGGAACGGGAAAATTAGAAAGACAAGCGAGTTCATTTTCGCAACTTTTTAGAGAAAGTCTCTCATTGCAGATTTAACCAACCGCGCTGCTTATAAATGCGAATAAGTCCTCCAAATGTTCGTCTGAATCTCTGTTTTTTCGTTCGCTACTGGCGAGGCCGGACTTCGGTGCTATGTGACCTGCTGTCTGTTCTCAGTCGTTGAGAACCAGGGCTTTCGCGCTATGCTGCACACTTTGGAGCCGAGATTCAGCGTCCAGTCTCGAAAATGTAATGTAATGTAAATGTATTATGGATCATTACAAATACTTTGCTTTAAAACTACCAAGTTTTTAGACAGTAGGAAGATAGAAATCCTGTATAGAGAAAAAAAGATGCATCGAGATGCATCGACAATCGTTTTATAATCGCATCGCAGCCCCCTGAATCGTAATCGAATCATGAGGTGTCTAAAGATTCCCACCCCTACTATTTATCCTGGCTACAGAGATGTTAGCCATGGAAAAATGCAAACATAGCCTTGGAGAAATGACAACAGTGTAGCTAAACTTAAAGTCCTTGGTCGATCTGTTGGTACTGGCAGATGACACCACTCTTTTTCTTAAAGATACAGAGCAACCAGTAAAGGCAATTAACCTAGTTAATATCTTTGTAGATGCTTCTGTTTAAAGATTGAATATAACTAAATGTGAGCTTATGTGCATTCATGATTTCCTTCTAACTTCAATTGAGAACATTCCAGTTAAGCATGCAATAAAATATTTGGGTATTGGTATTACAAAAGATAAGGATTTAATGATTAAAAATAATTTTGAGGACAATCTAAAAAAAATCAAAAGATATTCTTAGCAGTTGGTTACAAAGAGATATTTCTATTTTTGGTAGGATTTTGAAATGGAAAATGGAAAGTCTCTCTAGGGTGATTTACCCAGTTGTATCCTTAGCTGTACCTTCCTATGGTGTTAAAAACATAGCAATGACAACATAACAATTAAAAACATAACTTTTTAAATCAATTTTATTTGGAAAAATAAGTTACATTATACCAGGAAAGGTGAAACGGTTAACAGTATGAAGATGGTGGACTGAATGTTATTGATTTTTATTGTTATTGATTTTTTTATTAGTGAATGGCATGTTAAAACTTAAATGGTTAAAAATATTTCTTTTGGATACAAGTAGCCTTTGGATTTGGATTCCTACATCATTCTTTAAAAAGTCAGAGGGTTGAACTATGTTCTCAGTTGTGATTTTGATTTTGTTCAACATTTCAACAGCAGGTTTTATTGTGTTGGGTGTTAGTATATAAGTACAATTTATCCCTTCATAAAACATCTTTATGGAAAAACAGATATGTGTTACAGCGACAAACGGACTTATCTGTATTTACAATCACTACTGCTGGTTTCCCGATATGTTTAATCTGCAACGAGAAACTGTCAAACACTAAAAAGTTGCGAAGCTGAACTCAGGTTCTCATTCTCCAGCTTCTTGTTCGTATTTTCTTGGTCCACCTTAAATGGTGCAGCAGTTACATTCTGGTACCTCAGGCACCATTTAAGGTGTAACAGGAAAATACGAACAAGAAGCTGGAGAATGAGAACCTGAGTTCAGCCTTGTAAAAAGACAAACGTTGAGAGACATTTTACAAGAAACTGTTCTACTTTTGTTTCCTGCCGGAGATGTGAGAAAAGTTGCGGCTATAGTTGTGCTAAACCTTAAAGCAGAGCAAAGTAAGTCTGCATTTTTGTTAATATTATTTTTTTTTATCTTATACTAGTACATTAGCACATACTGAGACAGGTTTACAGTCAAGATGCTAAAATGGACATAAAATGGTGTGGCTCCCAAGGTGGCTTTATTATTGTTGAAAGGACAAAATGGCTCTTCTTAACATTTGGGTTCCTGAGCCCTGCACTAGGTCAGTGATCTTTAAGGATTGTTTAAAAAAGGTATACGGTCAATATGTCATTTAATGGATGATTATGGCACTGTTCTTGACTATAGTGCGTTTTTACAGCAAATTCAATTTCTTTTGCCATCCTAAACAGTTTTCCTTTGTTGTTAATGCCATTCCTTCAAATTTTGCAGCATTCAAGAATCACTCCAAATGTATCAGCACTATACGTTTGGGATTATTTGATTTTAGATGATAGACGTAGGAATAAAAACGTATGACAGGCTATTAGTAAAGTATATTGTTTTACTACCTCAGTAACTGCTGTGTTTATGTATGTTATCTGACGTAACTTACAGATCACAACATGTTAAATATGTCTGCACCTTATTCCACTACCTCATGTCCAGAAATCTGTGCTGTGGTCTGTGCTACACTGTCCTGTCTGTTTACTGTGTCTGTCTGTTTAATTTATCATATTTATTGTATTGTTTCTAGCTTAATTTTTGTGTCTGTCTGCACGTTCGCACTTTAATATTTTGTACTTTTGTAATTTTGTACTTTTGTTCCATGTTGCACTGTGTTGTTCCTGGTGGAACGTAATTTCACTCCACTGTGTACTTGTACATAGATGGAATGACGATAAAAGCCCCTTGACTTGACTTGATATTGTCCCTATGCTATAAAAAGATAATTCCAAATACAAAAGGATGAGGCTAAAGTTGTAATCAGATAAAAACTGGATAGATTTCATTTTCTATTCTACCTAAAGGCCAAGGAGCTTCAGTTTGAAATGTTAAATGACATCTGCCCCTCAAATGAATTCTTAAGATTCAAATTTAATATGGAGAAAAATAATAGCAGATTTTGTTAACCTGATATTTAAACAAGAGGACATATTTTCTTTAGCTGTGTTTACTCTCGTATCTTGTGTAATGATCTCCAATACTGGTTCTCCTCGAAGGATGCTGACTTTGTAATTTCAGACTTTTACATGACAATCCGAGAACCTCGTTGTCTTGTACTTATATTGTTTAATATTCTCTGTTCTTTCTTCTGTGTTTATATGACACGGTTGTCGTTCTTGACTGTGCAATATGACAAATACTAAGGACATCGTTTCCTTCAGGCTACGTGCACCGCTATTCTCAGAGCTACATGAGGATGTGCATAAAGACTGAGATCTGAAATCTGCTCAGTGCCGACTCTCCCTCTCTCACCTTCTTCGATGCAAGTGCTCTGAGGAGAGATGCCGAGGTTTGGTCTCACTGCTCGTCCAGTGCTGTCCAGCTCTGCTGTGGTAAACGACGAGAATCGCTGCCAACCACAGACTGAACTCCTGCCGGACGCGGTCAGAGAGTCTCCGGGTTTAGAAAAACATCCCGACATCCCCACATCTCCGCAGGCCTGGGCGTGAAGAGACGGGCTGCAGGAAAGTCTAACGTTTCTAAATGATTCGAGCTGCTGCTTCGCTTCCCTTCCTGTAAACACCGCCCACAGCACCAGCGCCACCACGAGGGTAACGGTGGGCTGACAGTGCTATAGGCAGCAGCCCCCCAGCTTCTGCCTTCTGCCTTCCACAGCGTGTCCCCGGAAGTGAAGCTTAGAGGCGCGAGAGGACGGTTTGACAGAAGCGTCACTTTCAAACATTTCGAGCTGATTTCAGTCCAGAAATAAAGCCACACCTGAGCCGTTTGAGATGATGGTCCTGTCCTCCTCTTCAGAGACTGGACTGTCTCTCACTTAAACTCCACAGGCCTGACCGTCACGTTATGGCTTCAAAATAAACGTTTATCCACGACAGTACAGAAAACTAATAAAGCTGCGACTCGAAAGCTGTAATATTTGAAGTAGAAGATGCTCAATAAAGCAAAACACTGAGCGGTTTAAATTATTACTGCTACCGCAATAACATAGGAATACAATACTATAATTAACATCAAAGTATTTTTGTACAACACCAATTATTATGGGTAAATATCACTTAGGTAAAAAGAGATGGTCAGAAAATAAGCCAGACTTTACACATTTCCTCCATGAGGTTAAGGAATATGGCACTATTTTAAAAAAAAATGCAAAAAATAAATAAATAAATAAATAAAACAAGAAGGCAAAAAGGCTTTTTCTTTTCCTTTTTATGTCTTTCTCTTACTCTTATTTTCTCTATTCTTCTGCATATTTTAAATAAACAACCAATGATGTAGGAAGTAGTAACTAAATCCTTTAGTTTCCCTATGTGGTGAAAGTGAACTCTACCGTGCTGAATGTTTGTGGCGATCTATGTTTGCTCACCTAGATCACAAATTGTGTGGGCAGCTCCTACAAACACCTCGGTAATTTGCACTGCACGCTTAGATTTGCGTCATTGCGCCTGCGCGGTTTCGCACATTCCCGCCGTCCACCGCACGAGCAGCCGATCCGGAAGTGACACTGGCAGAGACAGGGGTTCCTGTCGGCAGCTAGGGAAACAGCCCTTCACTGCTGATGGCTTTTTGTTGACATACAATGAATTTCTTAATATACTGGATTGACAGTCACAACCAGAGAATATGCTATAGTTTTTGATGCTATACCTCAACAAATGTTGCAGCTTTTTAAGGGTTCAGCAAATAGTGATATGGATGTCATGGGGAATGGTGTTTTTTATGGGGAAACTAATGACCTTACATATAAATGTACAAACGTATAATAATAATAATAATAATAATAATAATAATAATAATAACAATATTTTAGGAAAATCATATCTAATGAAAATTTAACAACCATACTGGTCTTTTGTATTCGGAAACATACATTGGAGTAAAGCATGGACAATTTGTAATAAATGTTGTATGAAAAGGAAGTGACTTTTAATATTTTATACAATATATATCCTGTTAAAAGTGTTTTAAAGAGATTTTGAAATATCCATTTTTTTTACCAGTGTACTTATAAGTATAAATATAATTTACCCATAGTAATTAAGTATTGTAATCCAATGTAATACATGGTCCAGCCTTTTCCACATCAATCCAAAACACTTATAAGTACACTGGTAAAAAAAAAAAAATGGATATTTCAAAATCTCTTTAAAACACTTTTAACAGGATATATATTGTATAAAATATTAAAAGTCACTTCCTTTTCATACATAAGATATGGTCTGAATATAAGCCAAACTTTACATTTCCTCCATCTGATTACAGAATATGGCACTATTTAAAAAATATTAGAACAAGAAAGCAAAAAGGACTTCGGAATTACATATTGATCATGATTTATTTAATGTGTAAGTACACCCCCTGGCTGTTGGTTGTTGTATGTTGTTGTAAACTTCCTGCAATAAAGAAAGACTGGGTCTGGTTCATACATACTGTCACTGGGTGGGAGAGGACCAGTGGCAGAAATTTCTGGATGCAGCCAATGTGTCCAAAAGTTTGCAGACTGTTCATTCACCATTTTCTCTGAAATGAAGGGTATTTACAGGATGTCTGTTCCTCTGTTGCTGCAGTAACAGCATCTACTCTTCTGGGTAGGTTTTACACTAGATGCTGGGACATTGCTGTGAGGATTTGATCGCATTCAGCCACAAGAGCATTAGTGGAAGTCGGTGGGATAGGCTGGTCACTGCTGGAGTGATAAGGTGTTGCTTAGCAATCAGTAAAAGCCATTCTATATCTGACCAGCATGTACCTGCCCTCTTATAAAAAGGGCAGTGATAAAGACTCTTAGTCCAGACTGCTATCTGAAAGATGTGTTTGTCCAGAAATGCAAGAAATCAAGAAATAAGTGTATAAAGGGAATTACATTAAATGTGATGTTTTCAGAACCAGCATGAGTTATTAACTTGAAAATAATTGCTCTCTCAGGTATATTCTCAGGTATGATTTAAATTATTGGCTTGATCACCAGGCCTTGGACAGTCTGTGATGTGATGCAGTTAGCTGAATTCTGTTCTTAGCTTACCAAAGAGATGGTAGAATGTGTACATCTAATTAGTTCAGCTGCAGGGCATCAAATACGGGATATATACAATAAGAAGAAAATGTCTGATAATTAAGAGAAGTGGACAAATTTTTTGTAATTTAAAATAGTGTGTGTATTTAACATCTGCATACCTCTGAGTGGTGTTATTGCTAGAGGAGATGTAGAGGGCAGTGGTGTTACCGCTGCAGGAGGTGTAGAGGTCAGCAGTGTTATCGCTGGAGGAGATACGGAGGTCAGTGGTGTTACTGCTGGAGTCAAGTCAAGGTTTATTTGTATAGCACTTTTTCCAACAGGCGTTGTCTCAAAGCAGCTTTACAGAAAAATCCGGGTAAAGCCCCCATAACCAAGCCAATGGCGACAGAGTCATCAAAGCATCAGCAGCTGCAGCAGTATCATCAGAAAGGAGGTGTAAAGGTCAGTGGTGTTACTATTGGAGGGTATGCAGAGGTCAGTGGTGTTACTGCTGGAGGAGGTGTAGAGGTCAATAGTGGTGTTACTGCTGGAGGAGGTGTGGAGGTCAGTGGTGTTACTACTGGAGGAGATGCAGAGGTCAATGGTGTTACTGCTGGAGGAGCCATAGAGGCCAATGGTTTTACCGGAGGAGATGCAGATGTCAGTGGTATTACCGCAGGAGGAGGTGTTGAGGTCAGTGGTGTTACTACTGGAGGAGATGCAGAGGTCAATGGTGTTACTGCTGGAGGAGCCATAGAGGCCAATGGTTTTACTGGAGGAGATGCAGATGTCATTGGTATTACCGCAGGAGGAGGTGTTGAGGTCAGTGGTGTTACTGCTGGAGGAGGTGCAGCGGTCAAGGTTGTTACTGCTGGAGGAGCTGTGGAGGTTAATGGTGTTACTGCTGAAGGAAGTCTAGAGGTGAATGGTGTTTCCACTTGAGGAGGTGTAGTGGTCAGTAGTGTTACTGTTAGAGGAGGTGTAGAAGTCAGTGGTTGTATTACTGGAGAAGATATGGAGGTCAGGGGTGTTACCACTGGAGGAGCCATAGAGGTCAACAGTTTTACTGCTGAAGAAGGTGTTGAGTTCACTGGTGTTACTGCTGGATGAGATGCAGAGGTCAGGGGTGTTACTGCTGGAGGAGTTGCTGAGGTCTTGCTGCTGGAGGACATGCAAGATCAGTGGTGTTACCACTGTTGGAGGTGCAGAGGTCAGTGGCTTTACTACTGGGAGGTGCAAAGGTTAGTGGTGTTACTGCTGGAGGAGATGCAGATAGAAGAGATTTTAGGTGAATGACAATAAACAAACAGCACATTTTAGAACCAGAAATTTTAGAATTTAGTCTTACTGCCTTGATCAGCACGCCTATACACTTGGCTAAACATTTTTAGTTTTACTGAAATTTTCAGTAGTACAGTTGGGCATGTGATGCAGTTAACTGTGTGGAAATTTCTTAGCTTTTAAAGAACATCTGATTAGTTTAGGTGCAGGACATAATAGCTATGTACATCAAGGAAAAGTATGTGCAATTTAGTGTGATTTGTGACTGGTGTGTGGGTATAACATCTGTTTGTCATGAGGGCATCCATTTTGTTAAGCTTATATGACATCATTTTTTTATGATATATGGTGGACCACTTTTCATGGGGGAGTTGTTTATTTTAGTAGTACAGTGTGCAAATGAAGGCAAACATGTTTAACCAATATTAGCTAGGATAGGTTTAGCTAATATTTCTAGAGATCCTATTAACAAAGCACTGTACAACAGTTTTTAGATTTTACGCTAACATGCATAAAAATGATATTAACAAATAAACTTGCCATTTTTTCTTCATGAAATTCACCTTTTTAACCTAGGAAATGGTGATGTCATCTCTCATCAGTAAAGACTCTTCGGATGATGTTTTTGCTGGATGAAATCATTTTGAATTTAAATCATTTTGGCTTCAGACGTTGATGATATGAAACGTTCAGAACCGTCCAAGCATTTTTGCATCAAATCGGGCCGAGTGCATCATAACATCTTCTGTTAGCATGTAATATAATGCCATGGAATTCATCCTCCTGCCATGTAGAGCTAAGCAGGCTTTCTTTTCATTCTTTTTCTTCTCCTCTTTTTTAGCTTTCTTTTCAGCAATGTTCTTCTCTTCCTCTCTCCGCTTGGCCTTCAGTGCCTGTGTCTGCTCCTCTATCTTAGCTTTCTTCTCAGCTCTTTTCTCCTCCCATTCTCTAAATCTGGCCTCCAGTGCCTGCCTCCTCTCCTCCTTCTTCTGCACTCTCTCCCTTTTGACCTGCTCATACTCTGCTACTGTGACCACTCTGGTAGAAGAATCTATTTGGAGAGGAAGAGTTGATAGTAATATAGAACCTCTATTCTCAGTTTTAAAGACACGCCACCATTTTAATACTGTTCTCTGCTATTTTAACCAGCCCTAGTCCACTTGTCCTTGTCATTTCCCCTATGGAGGAATCTGGGTACCAGTTTAAGAGTTCAATAACTTCATTAGCCCAGGCAAAGTTTATTAGATGAGCCCTCGGGGGAGCGAGGGATCGAGTGAACACAAATGTTAACTTCGGCAGCAGAACTTGCCCAGGAATCATTGTGAACTGACGCGTTTCACATTTCAAATATTGGTAGACGACACTGTTTAAAAGCCA